AGTCTTATAAGAGAATTTAAAGTTAAAGATGGTTTTAATCAAGGTGAAATAATTTCACCTCTAGCCTAGCATATTTTTTATGACTTACTACTCTGTTTAGTTCAAAAAACAAAGAATTTAGATTATGAAATAATAACAAAATAGCTAACAGATATTACATACAATCTAACTAAAGAAATATCCTATTGACAAGCAGTTTTGACTTACGCAGATGATACTACTTGAATTGCTAAGTCTAAAGAGAAGCTACAAGAAATTATTAACATCTCTAATAAGTTTTATGTAATAAATAATATCAAGATTAATAGCAAGAAATCAGAGCTCATAGCATTAAATGTAAACAAAAAGAAGTCTGAAAGCAAAGACCAATTAGTTATTATTATAGGCAAGAACTAAAACTAGATTTATATAAAAAAAGAAACTGATCTAGTAAGATATCTAGGAGTTTGGATTGCAAGTAAAGAAAAGCCAAGCTAGATGAATCTGTAAAATAAGTATAGACCATTCTAGTAGATTTGTTTTGAGATTAACCAAAGCTCTACAATACTCACAATATGTTGAGCATAAGTATCTTGAGAGAACCTAAGCTGAAATCGATAAATAGATTTGTAATGAACTAGTTAGCTTAAGTAGTTAGATATTATAATGATATTAGTTTGTAATAGTATAAGTTAGTTAAACAAAGTATTTAAATAGGTAATTCATAGGCAGATTACAGGTATAGTAGCATAGTATAGTACTAATAGGTAGTCTAATATCTACATAGTAAACTACTTAAATTAGACAATAACTAAAGTTGTACATATGGCTTGTTGTATATTCTTTATATAATTACAAACTGTAGGAGAATACTATATAAAACCTTATATATCAAACTAATAAAATTTACTCAGCAATGTAAGCTATCTTAAAAATAAAAAAAAATAAAAAAAAAAAGAAATCATAGGAATAAAATAGGTGGAAATAGATAGAACAAATAGAGTATAGTTAGTATAGAAAATTTTAAAGTTGTTAACTAGCCAATGTTAACTAAAGCAGAAATATTAGAAATTTGGTTAGTATTATTATTAGTATAATATAATATAATAGTTAGAGTTTTCACAAATAGTAAACAAATAATAAAAAGTATAACAAAAGCTTGCAATACTAAATAGTATAGTAAATAGATTAGAATAGATAATAGAATAATCTTAAAAAAAATAACAATTCTTATTAAACAAAAAAATATAAAATTCAAGTTTAAAAAAGTAAAAAACTATACTAATAATTAATGAAATAATGAAACAGATCAACTAGCAAAGAAGAGAAGAAGATTACATATTTTTTTTTAACTTAAACATAGTTAAAAATAATATTTTTGACTATAATATAATATAGAAATCAAATAGAATAGAAAGTTCAGTTAAACTATTTGTGGCAAAACTAATAAGAGATACAATAATGCAAAGTAGATATTTCAAAAAAAAAAAATAATTTAGCAGAAAATATTAAGTATAATTAGAAAAGATTATGACAAAAAATTAAAAAATAAAAAGAAATAAATTACCTGTTAATGAAAGATAGCAAGAATCTAATTATGCAAATTAAGTTTTTAATAAATAGTTTACTAATACTTAGTAAACTAAAGAAGTATAAACTAGAATTATATTAAAAAGACTATTGTACCTTGTGCTAAGAAGAAATTTCAAAAAATTTTAACTACTTAATAAGGTACTCTATTCTGCAAAATCTTTAAAATAAAATCAAAATATAGTAGTAGAAAATATTAACAAGATTCAAGCTGAAGAAAGTACAAATCTGCTCTTTTTACTACAAATTAAAAAGATTATTTTTCTAAAAAATAAAAAGAACAAATACTAAAGAAAAAAAAAACTATTGATAGAATTTGAAAAAAAGAAAATAACTGAAGATTTATAAATACTAGCTTAAGAGAAAAACATAATGAAAACTTGAATAGATAGTACTATTTTTATTATTCAAAGAAGCTTTACAGAAATAATATAAAACTGATAATATAAGGTTTGATAACCTAGTATAGTAGTTAGATTGTTGAACTGCCATGTAATAGGTCTAGAGTTCAAATCCTACTGTCAACGAATTTAAATAATTTCTCAGACCTTGTGATATATTACAGTAAATCTGTTTGTTTCTGAGGTATACTTCTATAAATTGAGTTGTACTAAATCAATTGGAACTTGGAAGTATAGCATAATATTATATAAATAAATCTTGATAGAATATATGAGCAGAAGATCTGTATGATAGAAATCCTGAGTTAGTAAAGTAATATGGCTTTCTGACAGAACTACATTAGCTAAAGTCTAATCTGAGAAGAAAACTTAGTCCAATAAAAGTAGAAGATTTCAAGGTTTCTAGGTGAAGGGTAACCAGGACTAGCTGGATACTAGAAAAGAACTAGATTAGCTGACTAGTAAAGGACCACAGTGGAACCTAGGGTTGTATGAATATCTACAAGGGTCTAAGCTAAGTGAATCTATAAAATAGGTATAGACTGCTCTAATAGGTTTGCTTTGAGGTTAACTAGCTTTGTGATACTAGCAATATGTCTAGTATAATATATTCTGAGAGGACCTAAGCTGTTCTGAATAAATAGATTCATAATGAGCTAGCTGGCTTAAGTGGTTAGATGTTGCAGTGATGTTAGATTGAATCTGTATAGGTTAATGAATAGAGTGTTTAAATAGGTAATTCACAGGCAGGTTACAGATATGATAGCATAGTGTAGAACTAATTAGGTAGTCTAACACTTGTGTAGTGGACTACTTAAAATAAACAATAACTAAAGTTGTACATATAGCTTGTTGTACACTTTTCATATAATTACAAACAGTAGGGATTATCAATGTATAATCCTGTTAACAACTCTAATAAAATTTTTTTGACAATGTAAGCTGCCTTAATAACAAAAAAAAAAAATAAAACTAATAATATAAAAAATAATCTAATAGAAAAAGCAAGAAGGAATTACAACTAAGCTAAAAAGAAACAAAGCTAAGAGAAAAAAACTAAAAGTGAGAACCTAAACAGATAAAGAGAAAAGAATATTGTTTGTAGAAAAAAAAAAAAAAAAAAAAAAAAAAAAGATTAAATAGTAGTATTAGTAGAAAGAATAGTTAAAGTCTAGTGATCTAGTATAGTAAATAGGTTGTCAGATTGCTATGTAAGAGATCTAGAGTTCAAATCTTACTGTCAACAGAATTTAATAATTATCTAAACATCTGTACCTAACTTATAGTAAACTCTGTTTGTTTCTAAGGTTATAACTCTGTAAATTATGTTGTACCAATGTTGTTTAGATATTAGAAGTATAACAGAATATTAAAGTTGCATTATATAAATAAATTAAGATAGGATTTACAGGCAGAAGATCTGCATAGTAGAAATCCTGAGTTAGATAAAGTAGTATAGATTTTAATAGTCATACTTAATCTGACAAAGATTTCTAAGTACGAAGATACAGATTGAGTAGATGCGAATAAGTCTATAATATTAGATATTACAATAATACCAACTTGGTTCGGTGGCTAACTAGATTAGGAGGATCTATTTTATGAAACATTTAGAAAAATACAGAAGTCTAAACTGGTGAAAGGCTATAGCTAGAACTAGATTTGTATGAATATCGAATAAAAATATATGCAAGCTAGATTAGGATATAGTGTAGCATAGTTGAGTATTATAATACCTATTTTTAGGAGGTGTTGAAGTAAAACTTATTTGAATAAGACCTAGGCTTATAATAGTAAAGTTTGTGACTAATGTTAGCTTAGATACCTCTCAAAGTAAAGTAGCACAAGGTTATAGTTAACTATAAGAGTAATATTTGCAGTAAGTGAGATAAAGCTAGAGAGTTTAAATAAGGAATCTTTTAAGAGATTTTAGATATAATAACTAGTGTAGAACTTTTGAGCAGACTACTTAAAATAGACAACCTAAAATTATATGTATGGCTAGTTGTACTCTCATAATATGTATCACTTCTGAAATTTATAAAATTAATAAAGTTTAGGCAATGGTATTTATATAAAGTAAAAAAAAAAAAAAAAAAAAAAAAAAAAGAGTAGTTAAAAAAAAAATAAAAAGAGAAAAATTAAGTTAGTAAAGTTTTTTTTAATTCAGTTAGACCTATAGGTAAAAGTAAAATTTATTTCAATTTTTTTAATTTCAACAATAATTTCAATAATAATTTTGATAATTTTAATATTTCTACCAATTAAATTTAAAACAATTATTGTATTGATTTGGCTTAGGTTTAATTAATTTTTGATATAATTTAAATTAATTTTTAATATTGAAAAAATAATTTCACCAATTTCACTATCAAATAATTTTAACAATTTTAACAAAACTTTTTATTAAAGAAGATAATTTCACTCCTATTTATAGTTAGACTAAATTGTTTTAGCTATAAAGCTAGTACAACAGATTATACCTAAGTACTCTAATAGTCAAACTTAAAAAATTAGATAGATTGTATAATCATATGTAACTTGGCTATGGCCATGGTTAACAATAAAGTTTATAACATAACTGTTAAAGAAAAAAATAAAAAAATAAAATAAAATAAAAAATATTTGAACTATTTTATTTAAAAAAAAAAAATTATACGTACTAGTAATCTTATTTAAACTAAAATTGAATAATAAAAAGATAACTAACGCCTGATATATAATTCATTACATTTACTAAGTAGCAAAAATTTTTTCGATACGTTACATATGACGCATATTTTACTTAATGAAAAAATTGTGCTTAACCAATCCCATTTCTGATGTGATAGCAGCCAATTATGAATGCGAGTTTTTATTGGTGAAACGTTACGCTCTTAAGTACTGTAAAAACATATAAATTAATTACCCGGGCAATTGATTTACATCAGCCAGTTAAAAGAGCTTCTTCTTATGTCATTGATATGCACTTATTTTGACCAGTGTTTACGCGTGTTCTCAATCTAATTATTTTGTGTAAATCGACGCATGATGACTAGACGTTCAAAAAGAAATCATGAATCTGTTGGGATGAGTGGTAAGAAATAATGAAAAATAAGTCGCCTTCGCTCACATTTGTTACTAACAATCAGAAAATGACTAGAAAGATAATTTTCCTGTAAAGTATTATACGTTTATCTTGGTTGTTATCATTTCAGCGAAGATTGCGGTGTGAATAAGGGCGACATGAATTATGTTTGAATTATGTATGATCATTTGTTTTTTCTTCAACTGTCTTAAAGCATTTATTATCTTCTACATTTATGTATAAATAAAGAACAAGAATCTTCAAGCAATTTGTTAAGACCAAATAAACGGAGAATGAGAAATTCAGATATAATTATTAAAAATGAAGATGGTAGTTTTTTTAATCAATTTAATTGTGAAATTGTGTTAATTACATTATCAAAATTAACATGGAAGTTTTTTTTAATTAGTGGAGAATCCAATACCTGATACGAGGGGCCGAAACTATCCATTATACCTTCTTCCTCCACCTCGTAGAAATATAAATTCCCCTTCCACCCAATGGACAGAAAATTTAAACAACTTTAACGACACAACCTTTTCTACGCCTATGCAATTTTTCACAGATGGACACAACACTGGTGGAGTAACTTTGCGTCCTATTTGTTTACCTCCTGAACACTCTACACATGGTGGAATAACTTTACCTCCTATCCGTTCAGTACTACCCATCGATCTTGAAAACTTTGGTAGTAGTATAGGTCGGTTTACAGACGACGGTATTGAAGTAGTTGACTTGACATCTTCAAGTCCCGAAAACTTTGTAATCGACCTTACCTCATCTCCAAATGTCCATTCTCGCTCGGAAGTAATCGTGATTGATGATGATGATTCTCCAACAGAAAATATTTCATCATCCACGGCTTCATCATCACAGAAAGGTCTTCTACTTAAATGCTCAATTTGCCTTGATCATCCAAAGGATGTTTCAGCTACCCCTTGCGGCCATATATTCTGTTGCGAATGTATAACAACGGCAGTAAAGACACAGAAAATGTGTGCACTTTGTAGACGTCCGGTAACAAAAAAGCAGATCAGGCACCTGGAATTCAAGGTGTTGTCCGTAAACGGCTAACGGTCTGTTTTTAACATTTGAAAAAAAAAAA